ATCTTTTCGTGCCACTTCTGGGCGTTCTGGAGAGAGTCGAGGATAGGGGGGACAACGGCCTTGACGGCGTTGCCGTTGACAGCCTGAACGATGGCAGCGGCGGCGGACTGAGCGGCCTCCTTGACGGGGACCATCTTGTCACCGACGGCGTTCAGAACGGGGCCAAGGAGAGACACAAGGTGGGGCTCAACACCGGGAGCGATGGTGCTGTGGGAAGCGATGGCGCGGATACCCTCGCAGGCACGCTCGCGGACCAGGGCATCCTTCTTGTTGGAAAGCTGCTTCTTGAAGGTCTCGACGGCCTTCAGGGGAAGAGCCTGCTCAGCGATGGGACCGCTGAAAAGGGTGGCCAGGTTGTTCGCGGCGGCGTTAACCTCGTCGGCAGAGGTAGAGACGTTGAGGTTCTTGATGAGGTCCTCGAGGACGGCGATCGACTGGGCGATCTCCTTGCCGGAGACGGCAGGAACGGAGGAAACGTCAACGGCAGGCATTTTGGAGGAAATTTTGGCGGTTGGAGGGGAGGAGGAGGTTGAAAAACGTGAAGATTAGAATAAAGAAAGAGATTTTTCTATGAGGGGTATCTCGGTGAGCTTGTGGTGGCCCAAACTGCGTCGGCTGTCCAGGACGCAGTAAACGCTCTTTTGCAGAGAGAGCGAGTCTAAACTTTTGAGGCTTTTCTGTCTATGGCAGAAAAGAAAAAAACAGGAAAGAAAGAACCCAAGAAAAGATGGGGGGGAAAGAGGATGGGAGAAGGGAAGAGGGGGGCAGCGATTAGAAGGGGGGGCGAGATATTTATCGTGTGGCCCCTCGCCGCCCAACCGCAGAAATTTTTTTTTTGCTGTTGCGGTCACGCTAGGGCCGCTTTGGGCTTAGTCCCAGGCAGATGGAGTCTGCCCGTCCGAAATCGGGAGATCTGATTGGCTCCGCCAGGGCTGCCTCCCGAATCCCTGCCTGATCATTGGTGGGCTGCCTGAGGGAACAATCAAACAAAAAAAAATCATGAAATTCATGAAAATCTCAAAAGTCTGGGAGACCGAAACAAGCCCGGATGTCTCCAGGGAAACTTAAGGCATCAACTCGTTTGCCTGGGAAGTATGACGTCCCATACAACTACGGGGACCTATGCGAACCCTTTTCTGCATTCTAGAAGTTGCTACTTTATTTTTTCATGTACTATTATCTATCGACGGATCATCAAAATTTTTTTTTCATGGCTATCAGACGGCTCGAGTCCACCGCGGTGCAGTCCGCAGGACTGCCGCACATGCAGAATCAGCCTAGATAGTGTGAGAAAGGGGGCACAAATCCGGGGTCATGAAACGGCAATTACATTAGAGTACGGTATAAGTTACTGCTCTTCTATGATTACCCACCAGTCAACCCAATTGCCCTATACTTAGAGCCCCTACGGAGTCCTACTATGGCAAGGAAAGTCCCGAGGCGTGCCAGTCGCCACTCTCATGACCGGGTGGCGCAGCGCTCTACCGGCCGTTCAAACATCCAATCAATCACCTCCCGAAATTGCAAGGTTTTTTTTTTCGAGAAACAAAACGAAAACAGATGCACTGCAGGGCCGAACGTATTTTTAGAGTTGCCCAGATCCCATTGCCTACATGTCCCGAGAAAAAAAGGGCGGAGTCTCGTTTTGATCTGGTGGGTCCATAATGATCCCGAACCCAGAACTGGGTTGGGGTGTTCAGGTCTCGAGCTGTATGCAGTAAGCTAGAAGACTGTAGTGAGCGTCAGATCTTCTGACCTATGTAAATCAATATATTGAATAAATAAGTTAAAATGATATCTCATTTGGTAGCGCGACCTGCTGGCTTGGATCGACAGCTTGCCGGGCACTCCTTGGGCTCAGAAGTATGTACCGTACTCCGTCCTGTCAGGGGATGAATCTCGGCACTCAAACATAAAACACGGGTCCATACCGAGGCATGGACTCTCAACGCTAGACTGGTATCCAAGGGGGTAATCCTTCCAGGCCATTCCAAAACATACGAAGTAGGCTGGAGTATACTACTTACGCATCACTGCCAGTTGACAAGCTCACCGCTTCCTGCTTATCGCTTATCGCGGGCTTCGTGGTTGCATTAAAAATTTTTCTTGGTAAGAAACTAATTATTTAGAGATACACCATGGACCAATCTGTAACAATGCTAACAATGGACGAGGGAAAACTCTTCATCTTAGGCCGAATCACTCCGGAGTAATGCCGGGAAACTCCTCTGAGACTGGAAAGTACTCGTTCCGTTATCCAGAGTATCCAGAGTTCAGCAGCACTCACATTATCGCCTATTGTTATCATTCCACCCTTATCCCTTATCCCCCGCGAAAGTACCCGGTGGCGAAAACCGATCGGGTTCGAAGGGATAGCGTGTGCCAGTGGGTCTGGAAAGGTTAAAAGTTCAAGAAAGGGAAAAAAAAAGAAAAACTCTCGCGAACGCAAGACATGCTATTACTAGTCCAGAGTATTCTTCTTCCTATAGGCGACTGGGTAGGCTCGTTCGCCTCCCAAGAATGGGCCCTTGCCGTTTCGTGCCGGGGGAGTTCTCTTTAGAGCCGGAGAACATCTCGAAAAGGGAGCTACGGAGCTACGCTATCATGTAAACGCTTTCATACTTTTTTTGGATCAAAGAAAAAATTTCTCCCCGTACCAGACCTTACGCCTCGTTTCAATGGTGGTTGTCGGGCTAATGTTCTCTATCTCAACATTTTTGTCCAATCCCCCTTTATGCCAGTAGTACCTCCCATTCGGACCTACCGTAGGTAAGACCCCCTCGGACACTCCGTCTCCGTGATTGATTCGCAAGGCGCGGGTAAATGTCGACTTTGTACATTCCTGCGCTTCCGAGTTTCCCGGAGATTTGCCCGGCGATAGCTTGCATGCTTTCGGCCTTTGACCTTCTAGAAGTGAGACGAGAAAAACAAATCAGAGTTTGGGATCTGATTTGTCGAATCTGGGTTCTTCCGGGCTGGTGGCGTTGTCGGAGGGTGAGAACCAGTCGAAGGACGGCTGGAGTGTGGTCGTTGACGTCGCGACGAGGTCATCGAGGTTTATGTTCAAGTCTATCGTTCATCTTTTCTTTACTGAGCATTCTGGCTGGTATCGTTGGAGGAGTGAACTTCTCTGGTGCTGGGTAGTCCTGGCGTTGAAATAAAAAGTCTGGGGGTGGATCCGTCGTCCCCAATGCGCCCCAGTTTGTCTTGTATGGGGCTGGCCTTATCGGCCCCCCCCTTTAATCCTTCTTGTCCACTTCGTTCAGGGGAAAACTCGTCCGGCCCGAGAGGGTATCCACCTGGTTTGTTTCTTTGTGTCTCCATAGTAGTCTTGTACTGCTGCAAATCTGGGGTAGGGACCCACGTAGATAATCGACAGTGCTACGCAGGCTTGACGGTCACTCCGTAGGCCCTGCGGCCACTACATTGGTCCAAGGGATAGGATATCTAAACCAACAACCTTAACCACCCTCCTAGTAGCACGAACCAGGCCCCCAAGAATATACACTCCCCTTTGTTTTGATGTTTATTAGTCTCTTCGCGGGCCCCTGTCCCCCCCCTAATCATCTTCAGCATCGGCTCGTACTTTTCAGCGCCCCCTTTTTTTCCTTCGTGTTGGGTGCATTGTCTCTTCGGCCTCCCCCTGTCCTGCCACAACGCTCAGACCTTTGCCCTGATACATAGCCCGGCAATACCCTATGTTGAGGCGACCTATCACCCTTCGACCTGTATTTCGTACACGTAGATTGATTGCTCTAGAAACAAAAGGGGAAATAATAATAATAAATGAAAGAAAGGGGCCGCCGATCAAGTCCTAGCCCATCGCTGGGACTTACTTGCTCTGTGTCAGTCTGTCTGGGCTCAGCAGGGTACGACGGTTCCTGAGATCTGACCGAGATGAGTCGATCTGGGCGCGGCTGAGTGACTTGAGCAGCGATCTGCTTGGTTACTTTTTGAATCCTATCCCTGTCGTAGGCTTGGGCTGAGCTTTCTTGGGGAATGGTGCACGCGGTCTTCTCCTGTAGATATGCCTGCTCTGGACAGGTCCGGGGGAAAGGGTATATACGACAGGCCATACTCTGTGCACTCTTGGATGAATACTAAGATGGACAACAATTTACTGCATCTTGATTTTTCGAGGAATTGTGATGTTGAAATTTCATTCTTCTCCCACGAGGTGCTGGCTTTTAGATTTGCTTAATGGATATCATGAAACTAAGTCCTTATACCCATTTGTTATACCTTGTCATTCATTTTTACGTTCCCTCGTTGACCAACCGCTAGTAATCGATTGGTCAAAAAGGATTATCCGCCGGTTATCGCTACCCGTTTATCGTCACTTGTTCGTCGTGGATTGTTCTTCGATTTAGATTATCGGCTTCTTCATGGAAGGCTAATGCAAACATTATAGGCGATGATCTTGATTTCAGCTCACCCTCTAAAGCTCACGCCAGTTCTTATCATTCTCATTGCGGTCAAGCTTTCGTCGCATTTTGTACCGTACATAACCTCTTCCTTACCTAAGACCTATTGCCAAGGCCTAACCTAAGCTTGCAAACGATGCTACTTCTCCACTGTATCCTTCTATAACAAGATAACCTACTCCGGATAGGCTGTCGTATATTCTTAGAATGAGACAAAAGGCTCAATTCTAAATGAATAAAGCCGTTAAAGACACACTCCCTTCTCACAGTACCTCCATCTGTGTCATCGTAGATAGGAAAATAACTTTGTCGCTCAACAGTTTTAGATCATCTATCTTGAACAGCCAGCTTGAAGTGCCTGAAACACTCTTAGTTGTCTCTTTATTATTGCTTGCAGTATTGTCAACAATATGATGGACTATACTCACTCAATGCGAAGCTAACCTAAAGAAGTTGGCCTTTTGAGTCAAACAACCAGTCAGCGAATGCACAGTGTCAATGGCCCCCACGCGATCGCTGTTGAGTCATAATGGTGTTACCCAATAGTTAACTAACTTAATGTCCCGTACGTCGCAGAGCCTCACATGATAAGGAGGATCACAATCCCCACCCGCAAGGCAGCGCCCGGACTTAAATATCAGGGACCACTTTCTTGCTCCATCTCACATCCACTCCTTCTTTTCTCTCCAAAACATCGAGCCGAACATCAAAATGGCCTCGTCAGAGTACTCGCAAACACTGCAACACATTACCGATGCGAAGCTCGAGGAGCTTTCCATCAAGCGCCAGATATTCCTGGAGCGCAAAGCGTCCGCCCTGCAGACAGCGGAGTCTCTACTCTCACCGATCGCAAAGATCCGTGCCCTCGCCGATGGAGTCAAGTCGTGCTTCGGCATCACCGTCAAAGACGGCCGCGTGGTGATCGGTTCGAGCAATCACCAACAACTCGAAATAGCCCTTGCCAACCTCGACCGATTCCTCAAACAAGCCGAGTATGATCCTGCAATTTCGCCAGATATGACCGCGCGCTGGCATCAGACGCTGCTCCGCTATCTTGACATCCAGACACTCAAATACGAATACGCGACACTCTTCGCACAGCTCACCATGGAGTGGCTGTCGGTCAAGAAAGACCCAAGCTCACAGCCTCCCCTTGCTGCATCCCACGATGACTTTGAGAAGCTCGCGAGCACGGCCAAGACGGAAAGTCGGCAGGCGTGGGAGAAGGTCGTGTTCACTCCTGCTGGCCATGACGCCGAGACTATCACTGCTTTCCTCACAGAGCTCTTTTCTGGAATCGGTCCCCCTGAACAGGAGGGAGAGACTGACCAAGCACGGGGCGTGGAGAAGACGTTATGCGCACTCCGGGACAAAGTTGCAGCCTTCGAAAACAGTCTCTCCCTGGGACAGATTACATTTGTAACTCTCAACTGGGTGATCAATGGGCTGTTGAATTCCGACCTGGTGACGGACAAGCAACGGGCTGCCTTGCGAGAGTTCCAGAAAGATGACACCGTCCTAACTGAGTTGTCCGACGTGCTCAACATGCGGCTGGCCCGCCTACATGCGTGGACATGGGGGCCTGCTGTCCACGTCGAGCAAAGACGCCAGATGAATGGGACATACCAGATCCGCATGCATGAAGACCTCATCCAGGCGATATTCTTGCAATACCTTGGTGTCAGGTGGTCCGTATTTTTCAAAAGCGCCCTGCATGACTTCCGAAAGACGCGCCATTACTGGAAAACCCTGCGATCCCAGGTCCCGGCTATCGATAAAAAGCGTCGCGAGTTCTTCCTCGACAAATGCAGTGATAAACCCAGTGTGCAAATCACCAAGGAATCCATTCATCGAAAGGCGTATTTTGTCTCGCAGCTGCTTGATACCGAGTTCCAAATCCGAAAGCAAGAGGAAGGCGAAGAAGAGGCCTCCTCTTGGGGTCATGCCAAAAAGGCCCGAGCAAAGCAGTCCGCACACAGAGTACAATCACCGGCGGGGGTGGCGAGATTCCTCAAGGCAGCCGATTCTGTTGAAGACGAGGCCATGGCAGAATCTGATGAGGATATGGGGTTTGCTCTGTTCGACGACGAGCACGTCACTTCTCACGACCCGGATGCCACCTACGATGACATCTGGGGCACGAGCGTGAAGTCACCGGCCAACCAGTCGCAGGCGAAACAGAACCTTTTACTTCTCTTGAGCGCAGACACAATCATCAACAAACGGCTCCATGGGGAGATTACTTGCTTCCGGGCTCAGTACGAATCCCTGTACCCGAGCCTGCCTCATTCCACAATTCTGGCAGTCCTCACCTTCCTCGGCGTATCGGAAAAGTGGCTGGGCTTTTTCGAGAAGTTCCTCGCTGCGCCGTTGAAGTTTATGGATGAGCCCGATGCAGAGCCGCGAACGCGCCGACGGGGAACCCCGGGGTCGCACGTATTGAGTGAGCTATTTGGCGAGACTACACTCTTCTGCCTTGACTTTATGATCAATCAGGAATGCGACGGCGAGCTACTCTGGCGAGTCAACGACGATATGTGGTTCTGGTCTCGCGATCAAGAAACATGCGTGACCGCGTGGAAGGCTATTCAGCGCTTCAACGAGACGATGGGCATTTCCATCAGCGCAGACACCAGTGGCGGTGCTCATATAACCGTTGAGAAAACGGAGCAGAAATCGACCCTTCACCCTGTTCTACCCAAGGGCAAAATTAGATGGGGAATGCTGTACCTCAACGCCGAGTCCGGCAATTTCGAGATCGACCAAGAAATGGTAGACGAGCATATCAAGGAGTTACAGCGCCAGCTGGACGACAAGCAAGGCAGTGTTTTTGGGTGGATTCAGGCCTGGAACTCTTACGCATCCACGTTCTTCACTTACAATTTTGGGATGCCGGCGAACTGTTTCGGCCAACGACACGTCGACATGATGTTACAGACGCACGAGCGGATTCAACGCAAGATATTCTCTCTGGGTCCGGAAGGAGGAGGTAAAGGGGACAGCAGCGTGATCACTTTCCTCCGTGACAAGATTCAATCACGCTTCGGAACGGAGAATCTCCCCGATGGATACTTCTTCCTCCCGATCGATCTCGGCGGGCTAGAGCTATCCAGCCCGTTCATCAACCTCGTTGCCCTCCGTGACTCGATCGTGTCCAACCCGGACTCCCTGCTCGAAGATTTCTTCGAAGCAGAGAAAAGTGCATACGCCTCTCTCAAGCGACGATACGACGAAAAGGACAAAGACAGCCTTAGGTACCAACGTCGTTATCGCCCTGAAGATGCGGACCACTTCATGTCATTCGAGGAATATACCCGTCACCGGGAGTCTGTTGACTACGGTTTCCAGCACCAGTTGGTATGGGTCTATGATCAACTCTTGAAGCGGCCGCAGCAGGAGGAGATCCGCCAGGATGTCTCCGGACCCGTGACCTTGGGTCTTGGTCAGCTGCAGAGCCAGCTCAATTTATCTGGGATCCGGTCGGACTGGATGATGATGTCGTCCTACTGGAAATGGCTGGCGCAGCTGTATGGGCCGGAGATTGTGGATCGGTTTGGTGGGTTCAATATCGTCGACCCAGGGTTGTTGCCCATCGGGCTGGTGAGCCAGTTCCGCAGTGGTAGGGTCAGTTGGACGGAGGAGTAAGACACATTGTGATGGGAGTGATCTTAGTAGTTGATTTGAACTTGCCAGTCTGAGCTTTGGTGTAAGCGTTCAGGTTGCTCAGGAAGCTGCTTAGGGCAGCGAGGTGATTAATTCATTCTGTGCTCCGGGAGGCGATGATTTCCCGAATCGGCAGTTTTACCGTCACCTATATTACTACAAGAGGCCCTGGATGAGCAACTCGCATCAAATTGAGACTTTAAAGTATTCTGGCTCTGTTGACGTGTGTCAGCAAGGTAGATTCCATGTCCAAGGAGTCATGCACCACAAATGATAACAAGTCCAATCTCAACCCTTGAGAACTAAGCCCAGCTCCCAGCAGCGAAAAATCCATTCCCAAGGACTCGGGAGCTGCAACAAAACAGAAAAGGTCCAAAGGGTACTATCAACCAGGTGTCCGCATCGTTGCTAGACGAAGAAGCGAGTCTGGTATTGACCGACTTAGATCAAGAGCCCCGTTCAGCATGCGGGACGAGTGCAATCATTGCAGAGAAGAAACGCAGGCCAGTGAGGAATAATACGACAAGAATGAAACAAAGAAATAAACACAGAAAGACAACGAAGAAAAGAGCCCAGATAAAAAAGTGCTGCGAAGGGAGCTGTTGTAGGAGGACCGTTGCTGGGAGTAGGAGTGGAAGGGCGAGGAGTATGTTGTAGATCGCGTCCCAGATGGTCAGAGTCATTTTGGCGGATTGAGTGCAGCGGGCACGGCGGGTTGATGGGTTATTGATTGTGGGAGATACCTGGTTCTCGTTGGTTCTCGCACAGCTGTGGTGTAAGACGGTGAGGTGAAAGAGATTCTTCTTGGTACCACTTAGAGGAACAGGGAGGTTCTTCGAGATGCTTCTTCTGTTGAGCCCCACTAGATACGTGCAGTACACGGAAACCGCTCAATAGCAAGGAGCATCGGTATCAGAGAACAGTTAGATGATCTTGAGGTCTATCTCAAATGTTATCGAATAGCTTTTGGACTCACTCGATCAAGGAAAACTCCAGTATCAATCAAGAGGGGCCTACAGTAGTCACTCTTGAGTCCCGAAGAGTGAGTAGGCACAGTCCATCACATTCAGTAGCAGCAGTGAACTCCACCTAAGTCTTCACTTGAAAATGCGTAGCTCCAGACAGAAGAATGGCCATATGTACATCTCCTATCAAACAACAGATCCGCAACCCTCTCAGAAACCCCTATATGCCCAACACCACCATCATCCAACCACCCAATATCCAAACCACCCAATATTCAAACCACCCAATATTCAAACCACCAGCCCAAAAGCACCCCATCTACCTTTCTCAAGAAAACCCTCATCTCCCTGCCTCAGCAACCCTCGCAAGCGACCCCTCCATCCAAACAAAAAACTCCTCCGAGTGATTGCCCATACGTCTCATATGATCCAGCCTACGGAGCGCAAGCAAATACATCCGCGTATCGTGGGGTTCCCGATTGCCCCATTCCAGGGCTTTGAAGAAGGGGATTATGAAGACGAGGAGGATGAACCAGAGTGTGAGGGCTGTGTAGGTTAGGAATGTGAAGAGGCTGTTTGTGTTTCGCCAGAAAGAGGACATGGAGGGAAATCTTTGGGTTTGGAGTTGGATTTGGATTTGGATTTGGATTTGGATTTGAATTTGGATTTGGGGCGGGAGGGAGGCCGATAGAAGCAAGATTGAATGGTTGGAGTGGAAAAGGAGGCTCTGTAGAGAGGAAAGAGGAGATGTGTTGTGGGAATAAGTAGGTAGAGAAGGGGTTGTCGTGTTTTATGCTGCTTGAAGGCAAGGATGTAGCTATTCATCTTGTGCATCAAAGCCTATGGTATCATCTTTAGAGTATCTACCAGGGACATGCCATTTTTACAGCCCGCCGCTTTATATAGACTCATACATCATGCCAGCCCCCAGAAGCATTAGAATAGCAAACGTCTCGAAGGAAATTTCATACGGAATAGTTGAAAAAGTAGTATTCATGTAATTAGTAGTATTCGAAATAGTAAATCTATCAATAGTACAACGCCTCAAATGCACACCCACATTTCAAGTCCAACCCATATCAAGTAGACAAAGCACCAAAACAGCCCCCGTCCCAAGAGAAAGAGAGAGTGTGAAAACGGAAAATTCTATGTCCAGGGTGCATGGAACAAGAGAACGCGAAAGATTGAAATTTATAACAGGGGAGAATGGCATCGCTCGAGGTATATACACGAGACCTCTGCCGAACATGTAGGGAAAGAAAGATGATCAGTCAAAGAAGCCGCAGTATAGGAAAGGAAAGAGAACGACTCTTCCAAACAGGAGTCTGTAGCCCGTGAACTGTGACCATTAAGTAGCGGAGTGTATGATGTTCAAAAAGGAAAGATGAGTATTGAGGACGGATCGATCAGATCTGTACAATCAAAGAAAAGAACCAAAGGGAAAAGAAAAAAACCACACAGGGGGAAAGAAAACGCTCAAACTCCATTCCGATGCGCAACATCAAAACCCGGACATCCAACAAAAGAGATCAAAACAAACTCAAGTAAAAAGAAAAAAAAAACATAATTGATTCCAAACAATAAAACAATGCATATCAACGAAACTCATGGCTTCTTCTTAACATGTCTGCCGCCATCCTCCGGCAATTCATCACCATCGATAATCCGCCACAACCTCCGCGGCGAAAATCCACTGCCCACGAGATAAATGCCGACAAACCATGCAGCCAGCAAATTGGCCAGATGGTGCAGCAAGTAAGCGTAGGTGACACCGTAGACAGCGGAGTATATGGCGATCGCGAAGAAGAGCATGGAGGTTACGTGGCGGAAGCGGGTGGTGATTCGAGGGATCATAGCGCCGGAAGTCATGGTTTCGACGAGTAGGAGGAAAGGCATTATGGAGAGGACGTTGTGGTGCGAGGAGAATGGCATGAACCAGTGTACAACTAAGTTGTGTGCCCAGACGAGGAGGACGAGTACGTTGATTGGCAGGATCCAGAGCATCAGAATAAAAATGGAGTGAGCATAGTTGCTGAAGTTGAGGTGGGACGTTGATCTCTGCAAGCGTGTTAGACAGGGGGTGTTTTGATAGAAGGGGTTCCAAGGGGAGGGGGAGACGTACGGTTTCCTTGGCGTGCCATTGGCTTCGTACGGTGGTTGCAAGTTGCACGATGCAGGCGACCAAGTAGGCGAACTGGTAAGGGATGATGGTCGAGACGAGAAGAAGCAGAATCGCGGTATGAATAACGCGACGGCGCGGGGTGGGAGCGCTGAAGATGGGCAGATTGCCTCTGTCCTCGCGACGAATGTAGCCCGACTTGCTGTTGATCGCACCGTAGACCAGGGAGAAGATATTCACGAGGACAAGGGCAACATAGTTGACCAGAACGCAAACACCGACGCTGATGAGACCAAAGATCGGGACTAGGAACCAGAAGAAAGCATCCTGAGAGCCAAGCAAAAGGTCGTTCTTTGTAAAGTCAAGCGGCGTCTCGGTAGAGTTGGTCCGCCAGTGGAAGGGGTCGTCGGATTGAGGCAGGGCCTTGGTGGTGGCCAGGGAAGAAGCAAGAAGAGACATAGCCACTAACAAAAGCGGCAGAGAGGACCGCAAAGCCCGGTCAAGACCATCCGTGAAGGGAATAAAGTACCCTGTCTGGTCGTAGACCTGGAACTGCTTGCGAAGCACGAGCGCCACGACAAGGAGCGGGAATGCAGCAAAGACGGTACGATACCGCATCACCAACTCACCCAGACTGCCAATGAGATCAATCTTCAACGAGATATCAACGGTCTCGCCGGGGCTGGGGTCAGTCCAAAGCTGGAAGGACACACCACCAGCGGACGCCGATTCACGCACGGGGGATGGCATGTATGGTGCAACGCCATGCAAATTGACATGGACATCGTTGACGTTTACAAAGAACTTGGACTCGTGCGGATCCGGAATGGACTGGCGTAGCAGCGGAGCAAAGAGCTCATCTCTCTGTGGATGCCTCGTAATTTTCAGCTTGTAGTTGAGAAGACTGGAATGCAGAGCTGGGATGTTCACTTCCGTGAGCATGGGTCGATTGGCGGGCAAGCGCATCTTGAGCCCGGCACTCAGTAGACTGCCCAGGCCAACCTTGGCCCGGATCATGGAATCGGAGCTGTCGGAGAACTCGGCTACCAAGAAGCCCGGAGTGGGAACATTGGCCTTGTCCACGACCGCCACGAATTGATGTTCAGCCAGGTTCTCCAGATCATACTGAAGGTAAGAGAACGGAGGAACGCGGTCGTACGCGTTCTTCGATGTCCGTGTCGAGGATGGCAGATAAATGACATCCTCGGCGGCGCTCTTACAAGCCAACCGCGTCGAGCCCACGGTGCCACCGGAGAAATCCAAATTCATAGAGAAGATGGCTGACCGGCCATTGTTCAACGGGAACACGCTGCAGAAGAGCACCTCGATGTTGCCCTGCTTATCAAGTGACTGATCCGTGAGAAGTGTAAACTTCTTACCCGAAACACCCTGCGGTGGGATAGGCAACAGGCGTACATCAGGACCATGCTGCCGCCCAAGCTCGCGGAGAACTAGCCGCTGGCCTTGCGCAAGAATGGTGTTGGCATTATCTTCGAGGGTCAACAGAGTATTCGGCTCCTTTTGGGAAAGCGTCCGCTCAGAGACCGACTCCAACCCAGTCAAATACCACCGCTTGAGAGACTGCATACGGTCTGCTCTCGGCTTAGTCTGAGATGGGCGCCGCGCATCGATGATATCGAATAGCGACTTGATGATCGCCTTCCGGAATTGATCACACCAGGTGATTGACAGGTGGTCCATACCGATCCACACATTCGGTATGGACGAAGTAAACACGGTGAACCCGTGCGTCTCTGGAACCAGAGACGAGATACTGGTATAATCAGACGGAACCACGGTGTCACGTGCACCACCCGCAATCGAAATCAGGGTGAGATGCCAGAGAGGGTTGTTGTTAGCCCAAGTTTGCGAGTACGCCTCCCGCCAGTAGTCGTTGATCTGCTTATATGTATGAACGATATCCGAGTCGAAAGAGACGGGCGGTTTCGCATGCGGTGCCGACATGGTGATTATCGTATTCACCGAGTTCGCCTGGTAATTCGACATGGTGAGGGCAGTTCGAGCCACAATGCCGCCCATAGAGTGACCGATCAGGATCACCGCGCTCGGGTCGGGAAGAACGGGATCCCGGCGAGTTCGGCGAGGGTCGTGGTATAGCGATAGAATGTACGAGATTGCCTCATTCACGTATTCTGCCTGATCCAGCAAGGTCTGTCCATGGAAGGCCGCCATATCCTCGTTGAAATCCACCATGAAAAAGTCCAGACTACGTGTTCCAGCGGCGTGTCGCTCTTCATCGTGTCGAACCACATCGTAGTAGTGCCGGGAGGCCTCCGCTGCTAGAGACCGGACCTGCCGGTAGCTGCCAGCATTTCCGGGGAGAAATAGTACGGGGACACCGTTCAACTAGAGGAACGCAAGAAAAACCGTCAGTACCACGTTCCCATCCAACCTAGTTCCGCGCAACACTCGCAACACGAATGAATGTCTTCAAGCTTACCCCGATATTATCCTGCGTGTATGGATCCACGCCTTCCTCGCGATATAGAAACAGGTTGTATTTGCTCGCGAACCGCGTGTGCTCCGTGTCGAACTCTAGCATCCGAATGAATGTCGGGCTCATCATGGGTACACCGCATCCATCTCCGCCGACCTGACGACTAGCGAACGAGCGCACAGTCGAGAACAAGAACGCGACGGCGAAGAAAGTCGTCAACGCCGTCAGGATAGAGCAGGACCACGGACTGCGCAGACTAGATTGACGCGCGCGGCGACCATCGGGAGACGGCGCCTCCATAGGCAACCTCGGCGAGCCCAATGGCATGGTTTTGGTATCGTTGGAAGCTTGAGCAGACGGAGTGCGCCACAGGCTGGAGTTCCGCGAGCGCGGCGTGGAACGGCCGTTATCACGGCGAAGATCGAAACTGGTGCCGTGACGGGCTATCTGCGACCGCGATTTATCGTTGGAAGAATCGATAGCATTGCCGGGGCCGTGGCCGTTCCCATGATCGTCCGAGGAGCGTGCCGGAGAATCTTCAGAGTCGTCCGCGACCGGAGAGCCAGACGAGCGTCTGTGCATTTGAGGAAGCGGAGTCGGGACTCATCCAGCACCGGTCGACAGCAGGACAGACGGAGGGATGGAATTGGGGGGTTGGATGGGGGTGGATCTTGGCACGGGGGGAGGGTCTCGCGGTTGGTTGTCGGCCTCGCAGGACCCAATCGTAAACGAAGGAGGGAAAGGGATGAGAGGAGAGGAGAGGAGGGGAGGGGGGAGAGAAGGGGGTGGAGGAGGATTGGAATGCGAGGAGGACCGAAGCTGAGCAGAGAGCAAAGCTGGAGCAGAGGGCACAAGCAGGGCACCGGAAGAGTCCAGGAGGTTTGGGCGGAACGGCGTGGGTGGGTTTATCCGCGCGCTGGTTGGCCAAGAGAAGGAAAAAAAAAAAAAGAGGTCCCTAATGTTGCCTGGGCCCTGCTCCACAAAATGGACTTAAATAAGTATAATTGAGGTTGTAAATTTAGGGGCGTGTCCAGTAAAGATCAACAAAACAACTAGGTAAAGGAAATGCTAGCATTTTTCTGTGATAGAAGAGTAGAATGTGATACTATTAAGCTATAGTCGATGACCACTACTCAGTTCTGTCTCTGGACAAGTGGACGGAAATGGCATCTCCAGTTTCGGCAGGAGATTGCCCAAGCCGGCACTGCTAGTATACTGCCCTAGGATAGATATTGAGATCTGACAGCGAGATGAGTATTCATTGAATAGCATATATCGATTCTTATGTTGCCAGTATCGGTCGCTTGAGACATTCATCGGTACAAGAAGGTGCGAAGCTAGCATTTCTTACTATATTGATCACTATGCCAATTACCATAGCTCTACGGATGTTATTCGTGATCGTTTGACAGCGTTATTCTATCTATTCATCCAATTCCGGTGATAAATCTGGATGTCAGCCAGATCTCGCAGCCACGAACCTGCAGGACGCGTACTTCCACTCCGCCAAGTCTCGGCCAACAAATCAAGCTTGGGGTTTAGCCTATTCTCAGGCTTAATATGACATTTCAGCTGGGCTTTTGGTGACTATTGAAAACAGTCGATCGTTGTTCATGTGAACTATGAAAAGGTCTTTCTGCAGCAGAGTACACCCACTAACACTATACGTGTCTGTAACCGTCTGATAAGGCTACGGTAACTACCGGGCGGATGGTGTGATTCTCTTACCAAGACTCGACGTTCAACTAGTCAGTTACTGGACTGTACCCTGGTCAGGTACTTTCGGTATCCTAGGGTAGTCCCAGTTCTACCCTGTAAGCTTCCGTCCTAAGTCGGGGTAACAACTAGGTAATCAACCCATTCGGTCTCTCCCACAACATCGTACTTGCGGTATTATGATCAACCCCCGCACTACAATAGATACCTCTTACCCCGGGATCTTCACCCTATTAAAGACTTCCCTACATCCTCAATCAACTTTCCTTCTTCATCTCATCGTCTCACCATTCTCTACTACCCGTGTAAGTGCACTATACCCTCATTTTTCATGCCCCCCATGCTTCATACCCCGCACTTCCTCTCCTCCTATCTCCTCCCTGTGCCTTCTCCTGCTTATACATGAAAAAGACCACAAATGAAGAAAATCACCTTCAACCCTGCGACCGGTATGTCCGGTATGAGTATATCAATAATTAAGCAGATTCGGATCGGGTCCACTCCTCAAACTTAAATGAAGGTTCTGTGGCGGAAAGCCTCAGGAGTCAGTTGTGGGGTTACTTTCTAGTGGAAATCTTACTGACTACTCGATTGATCCCAGGTATACCGTGTCTGGTATCGAGATCCGACCGAAATCATAATTTCATCGCCGTTGATAACGTGGGCAGTGGGGATATAAAGAGTCAGGGTTCGACTCGATGTGCGAGTAGCAAGGAGTTTCATTAGTAGAGTAACCTAGCAATGCATTCCATATCATTGTGTCGTCCTATCTCATAGAAATTCCATTATATCTCAGTCATTCATAAAACTCAGCGTAATAATCCATAAAGCAAAAGCACACCCGAGCAATCCGGGCGGCAGCTGGTGTAGTACCAATCCTTCATCCGGGGACGAGACATCCATCTCTCCCACTCAGAATCATCACACTCTTACTTTCCCTCGTGCTGTGCGACAGCCGCCTTCTCAGGGTCACTCTCATACCCGTCCCGATTCATACCACGACGAGCCGCAACGACGGCCAGATCGGCATCATGGTCGGCATCAAAGTTCCGACCCAGACGCTCGGGCCCAGCAAGCGTCAAGATAATAACATACAAAAAGACACAGCCCATGAAAATGCAAATCACCTTGCCGTACTCGTAGCGGTGGGGCGCGGACTTGGTAGGGGGTAGCGGGAACCGCTCACCAATAGTAGACTCGATGGTCGAACTAGCGGACGAAACGAGGTTACCCAGTTGGTACGAGGTACCAACGACAAAGGTACGGATGGAGCCCGGAGAGAGTTCCATGAGGTGAATGGGGATCACGCCCCAGGCACCTTGCACCATGAATTGCTCGAAGAAAGCGGCAGCCATGACTTTTTCGTTCTTGACGAAGGTGTAGGGGTAGAGGAGGGCGCCGCCGACGATGCAGATCACGATGATGGAGAATCGGCGGCCGAATATTTGACTGACCCAGCCGCAGAGGGTGCCGCCCGAGAGGGCGCCGAGGTTGGCGACGACCTGGGTGATGGTGACGCCGTTCTTGGATAGGTTGAATTGGTTGCTGAGCATGGTGGGGTAGAGATCTTGGGAGCCGTGGGACTAGAACAAAGCAGATGTTAGAATGGCAGAAATCAGGCTGTGAGCTTTGTAGCCGCGGGAATTGCCTACCATGAAGTTGAAACCAGCCATGAGCAGGACCAGGTAGATCAACAGCAGCCAGTGTCGCTTGACCGCAACCTTACCCTCCGACATGAAAGATGCTGCAACACCTCCACGCATCTCTGCACGCGCCTCCTGACGACGACGGAAAGTCTCCGTCTCGGGCAGACACAGACGGAACGCAATGATCAAGATGGGAGGGCACGCCGCGAACCAATACAGCGGGCGCCATCCATGCGGGGTGGTATCGACCAGGCCACGCGCAAACGCAGTCGCAAGCAGATAACCAAAAGCATAGCCCTGTTGCAGCAAACCAGAGATGATACCACGAGCCTCGGACGGGCAGTCCTCGAGAGCAGTAGCAGCAGCGTTACCGTACAGACCGCCCATGGCGATACCGAAGAGGGCACGGCAGCCTAGGAACTGCTTGTAGGTTTGGCAGAAACCGCAGCCTAGCTCGATGACGACGAAGAGGAGCTGGTTGACGACAAAGGGCCATTTCCGGCCATAGCGATCAGAGGCAATACCGAAGATGATGGCGCCAATGGATCGGAGCATCAGCACAAGAGTGATACCCCAGGTGATGTCGGTGATGGATTTGTCAAAGGTTTTGGCCAGCTGGGAAGTGGTCAGGGAGACGGTGAAGAAATCGAAGGCATCCCACGTCCAGCCGCAGAAGGCGACCTGCAAGAAAGTGATCAGTAAGCTGGTTTTATGCTTCAATGTACGGGGTTCAGCTAGAATGGTACGTACCAGGAAGAACATCCATTGTTGTCGGTTTAATAGAGTCAACGCCTTGAATGGGTTAGGAGCCGGGTTCATCGGCGGCACGAGGGTCGGGATGCGCGTCGCGATGTATCGCCCGACACTCATGTGCTCCTCGACATCGGGCGAGGCCTGCGCGTGCGCAGAGTGGTCGTGCAATTCACCCATGGCTGCACGGCTGTCGGGGCTAGTCGGCGCCTAGATTTGTGAGCCGAGAAAGATGAAGGTAGCAATAACCAAGCCGAATGCCGTGGGGTTCTCCAAAGAGACCTTGCTAGGGTAGGGGCAAAGTCCAGAGAAATATGAGAAAAAAGGGGAATGGGGGTAGAGAAGGCTGGGGAATAAATGCAAGTAGCTGAGGGAGGGTGTGACTCTAAATACTACCCCACGATCAGCAGGAAAAGAAACCAAAACTCCCATTTAAGCTTGGTCTTTAGAACCCGAGTCTTTTTCCGAATATTCACACGAATGACAATGCTAAGTCCGACCCCGCTCTCCGCGATAAACAGGAATGCGGCCGTCGGTTTGATTCGTCGTGCTGACGGACCGCCATCCAGTTTGGAGAGAAATGATTTGCCTTTTCCAAAAGTCACCGCCGATCTGTGCTTTTTCTGGGGAAGTGGTGGAGCGTGCTCTCTCGAAACACGACGGGATCATGGGTCAAGGTAGTCGATGCCCATCAGCTCAAATTCTTTCCATCAAAGCTGTCGGACCCATATCTACAGCTACAACAGACGAGACCCCGACGAATAAGAAGAGCGGCATCGCCGACCAGCATGATCGATTATCGTACACAACCACGAGAGTTCCGGTGTCCCCACCGAGAAGTCAATTTTCCTCGTGGCCTGCGCGATGCAGATTGGCTCTCCTCGCCGGCAACATGGCAGACGAAGACGATAGGTGTGATCGGAGAGTCAGAGACGGCCCCGTGCACGTCTAAGATGCCGAGTGGTCGGGATTCTTTGCGTGGTAAGGTTTACACTTCCGTGGGAGTTACAGCCAAGTCGAGGCCAAGACCAGCCTCTCCGCACTAAGAATCGCTGGGCAAGAGCTTCGACAGCCTTCTTGCCCCCACGCGCCCACGTCACGTTATCCTCCCCGAAGAGCAAGACCCTGCTCGGAGGTTGTCCGTTCGTCCTGAACTTTCCTCCAGGATCCGGAAGTATTCGTGAAGCCACCCAAAGTCTCTCCCGTATACGGTTTGAAGCCGGAGCAGTGTGAGAGACGTACGTGTGTTACCTTCTATTCCCTCCCGATCCCATCCGGGTCAATTTCCATTAACGTTGATCTCCCCAGTGCCCAGACCGGGGATGTGGAGAGGAAGCTGGAGACAAGAAATGTCTCCCGGGCCCCCGCGACCCACACTAGGGGGGGGAACCACGGCACGCTTACAGACAGTCAGGCACTGTCCGTAACTCCGTACGGAGTTTTTCTCCCAAGCCCTCCAGCCTTCGGGGCACTCTTCGTAAGTAAAGCACCTTCGCCAACTCGGCTCAGCCTCGGCCCCCTCGACTAGCGGGCTCCGAAGTGACCGATTTAGCTAAGCGTTTTCTCACGCCGACCATCTTCACCCATGCAGAGCCTACGTACTATGTACGCGATCGCACAATGGCATGGGCCGAGAAAGGGAATGAAACACGTATTCACTCATTGCACATACTGGTGTACCGCCATAGGTCACCGATCACACTCCGCCTCGGCTTTGGGGCTCTTTCAGGTTGGCCTGCCCCGGCAAATAACCTTTCTTTCTCTCCGAGACTCGGCGGGCCGGGGGCAAAGCTTGGCGGCATAGGGTTGGCCCAAACACCATGCATTTATTGGTATGTACATCATAATGCGGAGTCGGGATGATAATTTTGTTTTGCTGTGGCATTGGATATACTTTCGGGGATTGGCCGAGTACCCGTGCCATACATACTGCAGCTAGGTCCTCCTGTTGTCCCCGAGTAGATAATAACCGAGCGTTTGGTAAAAGGTGTCTGGAATAATTCCGAAATTTGGCCGATGGAGGAAGGGTGTCACTTGGTTCGACAATATACAGCCCCGCAACTAACCACAGGGTGCAAAGGATTGCTTGAATTTTAGGTACATTACCAAGCATAACCCCTCATTTTCCCCATCAATCTCGACACGTCCCACACCAGGCCTGCCCTTTCAATTACCCCGGATTGGCCAAAAACACCGTTCCCATCAACACTGACTGGTTATCTAATGTATCAACCCCTAACCCACAAACCTACGACAACCCCCGAACACTCACGTACTCCCTTTATTGGCCGACTTTTTCATGGAGACCAAAACATTGCTTGGGAGCATCATCGTCATCAAAGCTTATCCCAACCACACCGGGGCCAAGGTCCCACCGCCACAAATGCTGTTGATATAATTGGATTTCTTCGCCGAATGTGTATTCATTCGCTTCCTGTAGAACTCCTTCTTTCCAATTTCTACTCCTTCAATTGAAGAGCAATTTTGTCGTCATGACTGTCATCTGACTGTGGGAAATTCCTGTCGTGGACAGTAAAAACAGTGTTGATACCGTGGTTTTCGGGGGGAGGTGCTTCGAGTTCGGTCAAATGCAACCGAAGACGACGCCTCATCTTCGAGTCAAATAGACTCAATTAAAGGCGAGCATTATGATCAGGTACGCCAAGCGATTTGGCAAGGCTGGCAAGGATCCCAACAGTTCGGGTAGCGTGGTGGGTCCGTGATGCCGTCTGTCTATGCTAGGCTTGAACAAACTGCTCACTGATATATTCAACCTACCGGATAGATGACAATCTCCGTTAGTGTTGAGAATTTGAGCGTATTATTGATTGTGCTCTCATGAATTTGCTGCCCATCTCTTGCATGAAATGGCGAAGTAAAATTAACTTCCCAAGATTAGTAGACGGGGGAAGCTTCAACATTGATGCCTCAGGCAGAAATAGCCAAGTCTTCCCGGACCTCCGCTGCGACGACATACAACTGCTCTTCTGCAACTCCTACCCCAGATTAATTGTTTGTCACGTCGAAGGCCAAGAGCTCGTCTCGTGTATTCGTAACGAAGTTTTGGTTCCATAGGAAGGGAGCCATGGAGCCTGCCCGAAATCTCTACAAGAATGACATCGACTTTGCAGCCTTGGCGTTGCAGTCGCGAGACTTTGCTAAACAGTGCGTGACCCTCGGCAGCTGGCAATTGAGGAAAATAGAAACTGACCAATTCGTAGCTTACGATTCAATGGCCAGCTGGATTTCCACGATGAAACGGCCGTCAGGTGGGTTTGAACGCGAAGGAACCATAATCTCGACCGTCTAGCTAATAAGTGCAGACAATTGACCATCAGCCTGTTGCAGCATGACTTCGGGCTCAAGGTTGAGCTCCCTGCTGATCGTTTGTGTCCTCCAGTTAGTGCACTTTCAGTCATTCTTCTAATTAGTTACCAGGCTGAGGCTGACTAATGTTACAGGTGCCAAATAGGCAAGTGATCACCTCGTGCGTGGCACATATTCGAGAAATCTAACATCTGAGAGACAGATTGAACTACATTATATGGGTACAAGACCTCCTTGACTCGGCATCTGGGACAGTTCATGACACCTATGACCCGGACCGAGAAGTTGTTGGGCTTGACGTGTATGTCACCACCATAACTAAGCCCATTTGGCCCTGAGACTAACCGTTATGCGCAGGGGAACAGGGTGCTGCAGCATTTACCCACTGCTGGGCTGTAAAACCCGCCCTAAATGGAAATTCGTTGCTACTGGTATGTCCTCCTCACGGAATAGTCTCGTCACGACCAATCTAACCCGTCTTAGATATTGATGAGCAAAATGCGCGAACCGCACAAGAGAATATCTCCCGGAACGAGCTTGACTCACGCATTCAAATCCTAAAACCCGACCCGGAAGGACCCTTATTCCCCCTTGACAAACTTGCCTATACAACGTGAGTTTCCCAACTTCCCCACGTAGGTCAACACTAATACCCGTCAACCTAGCCTGGACTTCACGATGTGCAACCCCCCATTCTACGCATCACAAGAAGAGATGTTAAGCTCGGCAGAGACAAAATCACACGTCCCGTTCTCCGCATGCACAGGGGCTGCCGTGGAAATGATCGCGCCCGGCGGCGAAGTGGAGTTTGTGACTCGCATGATTGAGGAGAGCTTACAACTGCGAGACCGAATTCAATGGTACACATCCATGCTTGGAAAACTGAGTAGCGTGACCAAGCTCGTTGAGCTGCTAATTGAACACAATAACCACAACTATGCCGTCACGGAGTTTGTGCAAGGCAGCAAAACGAAGCGATGGGCTTTGGCATGGTCATGGGGAGATCGTCGACCTGCGATGGTAAGATATCTCACCTGCACCCGCCTTACACTTTAAGTGGTCATCCGTGCTAATACATTACAGTATGCCGCGCGGAATATTCCAGGATTTCCGAAACATTTGCTCCCGTTCCCGGCTGATTTTAGCTTCACCCTTCCTCCTGAGACGAACATCGATACCGCCATCAGCACTGTGAACGCTGAACTTCGTTCGCTACCCTGGTACTGGGACTGGAACAAGAGTCTCAGTGCTGGTGTCGGATTTGCGTCTGAGAATGTGTGGTCTCGACAGGCCCGGAGGAAGATGAAGCTTGCAGGACAAGCAGAGACTGGTAATTTAGATGCCATCCCACAAGAAATTGCATTGGGAGTTCGAGTCCAACTGAAGCTACTCGAGCGGAAGGAGCCAGAATCAAAAGAAGTGCAGGTTTTGGTCCGTTGGACCCAAGGGACAGACAGCGTGCTCTTCGAGAGTTTTTGCGGTATGCTGAAGCGGAAGATGGAGGGTAAATGCGGCACATGAATGCTCATTACACCATGTATTAGTGATAATACTCCTGAAAGTCACGTCGGCAAGAATTCTAATGCGACACACAAGAGGCTAGCTTAGGGACACGGCCAGTGGTGGATTGCTCTGATTATATCTGGACCTTGGTAAGGTAGTCTTCAAGACATCATAAACATAAATCTTATTTTCATCAAAGCTATACAAACATGTATATTCTAGTTGCCGGTAACCTCGCTCTGCAACTCCTTGAGCTGCTCCCAGCCCTCAGAGTCCTCCCAGAACTCCTTACCCTTACCTATGATTCCCCGAACAGCACTCCGGGCCTTGAACCGCCAGTCACGCATGACCATTTCCGCCTCAGCAGCGCCTTCAGCCTTTTTCTCTTCATGGTCCATAGGTCCGTACCGCGCATATCCATCGCGAACTAGCTTCTCCGTAGCCCGGACAACGGCCATCCAAGGCTTTTCATCGCCCATCTGGAACGCACCCTGCGCAGAGGCTGCAACGGTAGCCCGCCATGCCTTTTCGTGGGCATCCAGTGCGCGACTGGGTCGGTTGCGGAACATTTCCACGCGGGAGACGAGAAGCCATAGGGCTGCTGAGTGGGTGATGAGGGGGACAACGTTGTTGTCCACGAGAGAAATGATTTGGCCCGGGATGGTACCGGTGCGGACGACGAGGCCATCGTCTGATTGGATGAGGAGGGAATCGTAGTCAAATGCCGTGACGAGGAAGTCGACGAGTATGCTCAAAATGGGAAGGTCGATGCACTTTTCGCCCTTCTTTTCGCCGAGGAGCTCGATGATCCGCTTCTGGGCAGTGATAACGTCGCGGAATGGAGTCGCTGGTGGTGGGATGGAGGCTGCTACCGTGAGCACGTTATCCCAAATACGGGCTTCGCTATGCTTAAGTTGGGCAGCGCGCAAGAGTGCAGCCAGGGCATCTCGCTTGCGCTTGTGTGGATCAGTCTCCTTGACTACTTTCTCGCCCGTGCTTTCGTCGATTTCGACCTCTGGGGTGGGCTCGGGGGCCGTTGAGCGTAGCGTGGCGACGGCCAAGTTACTCCATCCCTCGGCATCGGTATCGTCTAATTGCACGGTGCGGGTGAAA